AAACAATTTTACGGAGTTCAGCAGGGAATATTCCCTCCCCACCTTCCCTGATCACTGCAGCAGCTACTGACTGCATCCATAGTTGTGCTTGGGTACACCCAAGAGCTAGTGAAACATTTTCGCTAGCTGTGCCTAATGCATTAATTATTAATTTATGGTCTCGCTCTTCAGTATTCTCCCATTCTGGTAATACTTTGGATAACTTCCAATGGTTGTCACCCAGTGCTAGTAGGGAAGATTGCAAAGGTTGCTGTAATTTAACTAAGTCGTTCCCTACTGTTGTTAGTTTATTCATCAGTACTTCTGAATCTATGGTATTTAGCACTCCTAGTCCAGTCCCTAGCAGCCCAGTGAGATCTCTTTTACTCTTAAAGTTGGAGGGCATTTGTTTTTGAAGCCAGGTGGCCCAATCCATGAAAGGATTTCTGAGAAATGGGGCGCACTCTGGCCGGACATCTGAAGCATTTACCTGTATTCCCATTTCTACTCGCTTCAGAGACCATTCCGGATTTACCAGCAGTCTTTGGATTCCCGTTTTCTTAATAGCATACGGCCCAATTTTAGTAATCGTAGGAGCTATAGGCTGCTCTTCTACTTCTGGGATAAGTGGCTGTGGGGTAGTAATAGCTTTCTTGTGTATTGGAGGGGTAGTTCTAGTTCTGTTCTTGTGATATTCAACACACACTTGAGTGATATTAAAATCAAGATCATATCCTCTTATTGCACATCCTTCTAGTTTTAGTCTAAATTCAGGACATTTACTCAAACATCTGTCACAGCATTCAGGGCTAATCCGAATGAGTTTCATGGGTGGTTGGTAAGCCTCATGGAACCCATCTTGCACAAATGCATAGTTACATCCCCAAACATTTCTCCCTTCCCACAAACGTGCATTTGTAACCTTTATAATCTCATTCAGGGCCCTACGAGAGTGGGGATCATAGGCCCTTCCTTGACACTGATATATTCCAGTTACGTTGTACTTGTGTGGTATTGCATTGGCTCCTGTTACAACTGTGGCAATAGTGAGAATAGTTACGACCTTCTCCATCATGTCCATAATTTCTATAGGTCCATTTATTCGCTGTTGCAGGTGAGCTTCAACTTCATCTCGTTGTCACCTGGTGTCACTTTCCAGACTCCCTCAGGAACTTTCTTCACTCGGGAGTGATGGATCCAGGCTTTCTGTTCTTTGATCTTGATTGCAGTAAAGGTAGTGAGGAGCACTAAGTAGGGTCCTTCCCACTGTGGTTCCAGGCTTTTTTCTGCAAAAGACTTAACATATACATAATCCCCAGGTTGTACATCATGTACTGGCCCATCTAATTCTCTGGTCTGAGCTCCAGCCACATATTTTTCAATTTCCCTTAATTGTTTGTTCAGGGCTATTATATATTTATGTAGGGTTTCTTCCCCTACCTGTGTTGGTGTGATTCCTTCTTGAACTGTATATGGTCTCCCATATAATATTTCAAAGGGGCTTAATTTTTCTTTTGTTCTTGGTTTTGTCCGGATTCGCAATAATGCTAATGGGAGAGCTTGGGGCCAAGGTAGGTTTGCTTCTTGTCCCAACCTTACAATCTGTTGTTTAATCAAATGATTCATCTTCTCCACTTGGCCACTCGATTGGGGATGATATGGGGTATGTAACTCCCAATCTATCCCCAGGTGATGGCTAATTTGTTGCACAATTTTGGAGATAAAATGCGGCCCTCTATCTGAGGATATAGTGGCTGGAACTCCAAACCTCGGTATTATTTCTTGCAACAGTGCTTTGGTTACCTCTCGTGCTTTAGCAGTCCTAGTAGAAAAGGCTTCTGGCCAACCCGAAAAGGTATCAGTCAATACTAGGAGATAACGATATCCCCCCTTCCTAGGTAATTCTGTAAAATCGATTTGCCACTGTTGCCCAGGTCCACAACCTTTCCCAATTTGTCCAACTTTAGGCCTTGGGATGTTTTTAGGATTAGTTCGGAGGCAAAGGCTACACTGACGAGTTACTTGTATTATTGTGCCCTGTAATTTCCTAGCTATAATTTTTCCTTTCAGATGGTTATGCAGGGCATCTATTCCCCAGTGTGTTTTTTCATGCTCTTTTTGCACTAATGTCCACAACAAATAGGAGGGCACCACAAGTCTCCCTTCCTCTGTTATAGCCCATCCTTCTTGATTAAAATTTGCTTTTTCTGCCTTAATAAGTTTCTTATCCTTTTTATTGTACACAGGCTTACCTTCAATAGAAATCTTTCCATCTGGGATTAATGTTGCTTCCACTGTCTTCTCAAATACCTCACCTTTGGCTGCGTCTTTTGCCTCTCTGTCCGCCAGCATATTCCCTTCTTCCAATTCAGAGCTCACTTTTTGGTGTGCCTTAATGTGCATGATGGCTACCTTCTCAGGTAGCTGCACTGCATCTAGTAGTCTCAGTATTTCTTGTGAATGTTTAATATTCTTCCCTTGCGAATTCAACAGTCCCCTCTCTTTCCAAATGGCTCCATGTGCATGAACTACCCCAAATGCATACCTTGAGTCTGTGTAAATGTTAATCTCTCTTCCTTTTGCCAACTCTAAGGCTCGAGTTAAGGCAATTATTTCAGCCTTCTGTGCAGAGGTGTTTGCTGATAACGGTCCAGACTCTATTACCTCTCTGCTTGTGGTAACCGCATACCCAGCATGCCTTTTTCCACTGATGACATAGCTGCTTCCATCAGTAAACCAAGTCTCAGCACCTTCGAGTGGGATGTCCTTCAGATCTGGACGGCTGGAGTAGGTGGCTTCAATGGTCTCCAGACAGTCATGGATCACTGGTTCTCCCATACTCCCGCTGAGAAAGGAAGCTGGATTCACAATGTTAGTTACCACAATTTCAACATCATCCTGTTCCACTAGTATAGCTTGGTACTTTAGAAACCTCTGTGGAGAGAGCCAATGTCCCCCTTTTGCCTCAAGGACTGCAGACACTGTGTGAGATACTAGCACAGTCATCTTCTGGCCCAGGGTGAATTTGCGTGCTTCTTGGATGTTCACTGCCACTGCTGCAACGGCTCTGAGACACCCTGGCCATCCTTTAGCTGCCGTATCCAGCTGTTTGGAGAGATAAGCCACTGCTCTCCGGTACGGGCCTAAGTTCTGTGCTAGTATTCCCAAGGCGATCCCTTGTTTTTCGTGGGAAAACAGGAAAAATGGTTTACTTACGTCTGGGAGTCCTAAGGCTGGAGCTGACATGAGAGCCTTCTTTAGTTGGTCGAAGGCTTGGGTTGCTTCCTTTGTCCACTGGAGATCTCTGCTCTCTTCTGTGATCAGGGCATACAGAGGTTTAACAAGTAACCCATAGTTATAAATCCATAGTCTGCACCACCCTGTCATGCCTAAAAAGGTTCTCAGTTCTTTCACTGTCTGAGGTCTCGGGGTCTGACATATTGCTTCTTTGCGATCTTGGCCCAAGGTCCTTTGTCCAGCACTCACTTCATAACCCAGGTAAATGACTGTTTGCCTCACCATCTGGGCTTTCTTCTGGGATACTCGATACCCCTGCAGGCCCAAAAAGTTTAGGAGGCTTACCGTCCAATCCACACATGTTTCCTGGGTCTGGGTGGCTATCAGGAGATCATCCACATACTGAAGCAACTGTCCTTCTCCTGGTGGAGGTTCCCAAGATTCTAAATCCTTGGCAAGCTGTTCCCCAAATATAGTAGGAGAGTTCTTGTATCCCTGTGGTAATACACACCATGTGAGCTGGTTCCTCCGTCCAGTTTTGGGGTTCTCCCATTCAAATGCGAAAATTTTCTGGCTGGCTTCGTGGAGAGGGAGGCAAAAGAAAGCATCCTTTAAATCTAAAACGGTAAACCATGTTAGTTCAGGTGTTAAACGAGTTAACAAGGTATAAGGGTTAGCAACTACTGGGTACAAGTCTTCAGTTACCCTGTTAACAGCCCTTAAATCTTGTACTAACCTGTATGACCCATCAGGCTTCTTTACTGGCAAAATGGGGGTATTAAAATCAGATTGACACTCTTTTAACAGTCCTATTTGCAAAAAGTTTTCTATAATTGGGCTAATCCCTTCTCTATCTTCTTTCTTCAGGGGGTATTGTTTAACCCTTACTGCCCGTTCCCCCTCCTTAAGCTTGATTTGTATAGGTACTGCATTCTTTGCTCTCCCTGGTATATTAGAAGCCCATATCCCAGGGAATACTTGATCCATTATTTTCTTGAAGTTTTTCTCTTCTTCACTTACAGTTTTAAGTTCTTTGGTTATTAACATTAGGCTCAGCAACTCCACGTATTGTTGGTCCTTTACCTCCAAGCTAATGTCTCCATTTTTAAATATTATTTTTGCATCCAGCTGCTCTAGCAGATCCCTGCCCAAAAGTGCAGATGGAGCATTAGGCATATATAAAAACCGGTGAATTCCCCATTGCTTTCCCAATTTATATTTTAACGGTTTGCAAAAATATGCTCTCTCAGATTGGCCAGTAGCCCCTTTTACCATAACATAATCATTTGTTAAAGGTATTAGGGCCTTATTTAACACTGAAAATGTTGCCCCTGTGTCTACTAAAAATTCCACTTCCTTTTCTTTATTCCCTAGTTTAACTATAACCAGAGGGTCCCCTAGGGTAGGGCCCTCCGGTCCTCCTCAGTCCTCCTTCGCGTGAGCAACCACTCTTTCTCCCCCCCGATCGCTTTTTCTTTGTTCGTCACCTCTTCTTCGTTCTGGGCACTGGTTCTTCCAGTGTCCAAATTTCCTGCAAAATGCACATTGATCTTTTCCCAGTCGGGGTGGTCCTTGTCTTGGCGGGTCTTGCTCACATCTTTCCTTTCCTTCTCCCCTTGCTACTGCTACTAATTTCCTCATCCCTTGTTTATATCCTTCCTCCCGGTTACTAAAGACTCTCCATGCTTCATCTAATAGAGTCTCCAAGTCTCGGCTGTTTGGGCCCCGGATCTTCTGAAGTTTCCGCCTGATATCTCCTGTGGATTGTCCTAAAAACAAATTTATTAGTTGTTGTATTCCTTCCTCTGATCCAGGGTCCAGAGTGGTGTATCGCCGCATCGCGTCTCGTAGGTGATCTAAAAAATCAGAGGGTGTTTCAGAGGGACCTTGTTTAACAGCATACAAAGCTGACCAGTTTATGGTCTTAGGAATTGCTCGTTCTAGTCCTTTCACTATAAAGTCTTGATATCTCTTAAGCTGTGCTAATTCATCAGGTTCATTGGGATCCCACATCGGGTCCTGAAGAGGAAATACATCTTTAATATCCTCTTGTGTTGATACACAAGCATCCTCAGCTAAGTCCTTGGATACCTTTAAAACCAACTGCTTCTCTGTTTCTGTTAAAGCATCAAGTAGTAACTGCATGTCTGTCCAATCAGGTAAATGCTGCTTAACCATAAACTTCAACCTTTTGGCAACGCTTATCGGGTCATTTCGATAACCTTTAGCAGTCTTTTCCCAAGCCTCTAAATCTATTGAGAAAAAGGGGACCTTAATTATCCTTGGCTCCCCATCAGAGGCTATAGCTTGCCTTAAGGGTGCTTGTATGACTCCTTTAGTTTGCTTTCTAGTTGTTTGTGGGGGTGGGTTCATTCTGGTTTGCCTTCTGGTCCTTGATGCTATTGGACCTTGTGGGGAAGGCCTGGGACTTGGTTCAGATTCATCCCATTCACTATCACTACTGGGCAATGGTGGATAAAACCTCGAGGGTTCCCCTGATCTAGGAGTTGGTGGGGAAACTCTTGCTTTAATTACTGTTTTTTCCAGGGTAGACGAATCAGAGGATAGGTTAGGGGAGGCTGAAGTTGGTGAGGGTTCTGATTTCACTCGTTCCCTCACCCCCTCCTCTACTCCCCTCCCTTCCTGGTTTCTAGGTGGTGGTAAAAGTGCCCCCGCTGTCCCTTGTTCTAAGATCTCTGTTGCATACACTTTACTTGGGTGCGAGCATCTTTGATTTATTGAACATGTGCTGCAACACCGTTTGAGCTTTTCCTTGTTAGCCTTATTATCCTTTTCAAGAGCCAGTACCAGTGGATCAGACGGTGGCTTAATCCCACAATCCCTTTGCCACTCAGGGTGATTTCGAAGACTGAAAAACATATCAGCATAAGTTACTTCTTGCCACTTTTGTTCGCGCCTAAGGAAAAGCATTAACTGTAATAAAGTCTCATAGTTTAAAGTACCATTTGCTGGCCATTTCAACCCCCCATCAAGTCTATAGAGTGGCCACCACTGTGTAGAAAATTTAACAAGTTCCCTTTTAGTTTCACTACCACCATAGCCCACCAGTGCTTTCCAGTGTGTTAAGATACACCCTAAAGGGGTTCCCCTGGGAATCTCTTTGCTCTCATTTGCCCCCATGTTCAGGGTTTTTCTTTTCAAAACGTCTTTTGATCTTATCCCAGTTCTTAAGCTTTACCTGGTATTCTTCTGGTACAAAAATATGCTGGCCACACTCAACTCTAAGTATTTCCACTGGTTTCTTCAAAGTTCCTGAAATTCCGTTTTCTAACAATTCAAATATTTTACTGCTACCAGGAACCTCTTGACCAGTCACCAACAAAACTTGTATAACTTTCTGGGTAGCCTCTTGTTCTTTTGAACGACAAAAAGCACAAATTCCAGTCTTAGGTATTAGCCACCTGTACCCTTTTCGGACCCACAAATCCTGACAGACTACACACCGAAATACAATCCACGGATTACAATAACAATCTTTATTTGGGCAGGGGAATACTTCTGACCCAGGCTTTCGGTTCCTGTTTCTCCCGGTCCTGGTCATATAGCTATGCTAGCAAACAAAAGGGATAAAACAATTTGTTAGTTAATTTTCACCTTTTCTCCCTTCAAAACAAGGTTCAGAGCAGCAGCTGTTGAGGAAAACTTGTTATACAAAAGAAAAGGGAAAAAGAAAAAACAAAGAAAAAACCAAAAATTGCAAGTTATTAATCACTCATTAAATCAAATCCTCTGTTATGTTTTGCTCTGGGTATATTACTGTTAAAATTTGTTTAAAAACTGTAAACAAACTTTCATACACTGTAGCAAGTTTGCAGTTAAAAGCCAAGCGTATCTCCTGTCGCACTGTAAACCAAGGACAAATGGAAATTTGACAAACTATCAGTCCAGTTTCGACCGAAATTTCGCGACTCCACACTGCACTGAGAGCTGTGTGAACTGCTACTATAGCCTGTTCTAAAAATTTTTGGATTGCTGACCAGATTTCTCTCACCCTCGCAGCTGCAAAACCAGGTTTCTCTTTTTCCAAAAGGACCTAAATTCTAATAGTTTAGGCTCACAAAAAAACACTCTGGAGTTTTTCACAACTCCGAACACATTCAACAAATGTTCGAACAAGGTCTTGCTAAAATCACACAAACTTCAGTCAAAACACAACACAAATCTTTCAACAAGAAGTGGAGGGGAGGAAAAGATAAACTACTAGCAAACACTCACTCACTAAACTTGGGGTTTTTTAGGCAGTTGAAAAATGTATCCTGAGGTCACAGAGCCTGAATTCTCTTCTAGTTATCTGGGAGACAAATGACCTCTTAATCACCAGGACTATCTTAAAAGTAGTTTAGGTTTTTCACTTCACCCTCTAGCTATAAAACAAAAATTCAACTTACAAAGCTTTTCATCCAACAACATATCAAATAAAATTTTCACAGTCAAAAGCACACGCTGCCCAAATTCACACAAATACACACAATCTAAGCACCATGCAAATACTTTAAATCAGTCTGCACTCCCAAAGGTCAGTATTTCTTTGCAAAGCAAATAACAATTTCACAAACTTCTTACAACTTCAGGTTCACAAAGCTCCTAAAAACACTTACAAAAATTAATAACACACGCCAAATCACACAAATTATAATGCTCACAGCACTAGCTCTTACAAACCACAACAATTACAATGCTCAAATAGTTTTCCACAGCCTAAACACACAAAATCACAAACTCACTAAACAAACACGGATCCGGTTACAACACACACATACAGCGCTTGGGGCCACAACCCAAATTGTCACAACAGGACGCTTCGCGTCCCAAGGTTCAGACTAACCACCCAAATTATGGATTACTAAGGTGCACCTTCCAAATTACAAACTGAGATCAGAGCCACTCCTGCTCCAATCTAAATCCACAACACCGCAGCCGCTGCCTCCTCTACGAGGCACAGACTGCTGAACCTCTGGTACCGCTGCCTCCTCTACGAGGCACAGACTACCAACCTTGCTGCTGCCTCCTCTACGAGACACAGACTACAAAACTTCTGGCGCTGCTGCCTCCTCTACGAGACACAGACTACAAAACTTCTGGCGCTGCTGCCTCCTCTACGAGACACAGACTACAAAACTTCTGGTGCTGCTGCCTCCTCTACGAGGCACAGACTACCAACCTTGGATACGAGACGTCTCTCGTGTCTTTTTAACTGCCTATATAATAAGGTACCTTCCCTCAAATATAAACATACCTCTTGTCCGTAGTCCAGCAGGTTCTGGCCTTTCCCCGGGTAGTCAGCGAGATCGCAGGATCCCTCTTCCCAGAAATTTCTGGGTGGGCGCCCAGAGGGGTCCTGGACCCCACCGGCCCCACGGCCAGAGAGAGCAGTCCTCCTGCCTGGCTCGCCAAAATGATTTATTAAAGAAATATGGATATTGATCTAGTATCGATATCCAACTGTGACGGACAAAATCTCTCTAACAGTTTAAAGTTAGAAAGTGTATGTTTATTCGACGCCGGGCAGCGTGCGGGATAGCTCCCAAATACACACCGCACCTTCCAGGTGATTACAGAGTCTTTTTATCCATACAAGTATTGAATATACAAAATACAAATGCATATTCATAATTTTGGTACATCCCATTCCCCGCTTCGTATGCTAATCACTCCAAAAGCTATTAAGCATGCGTAGTTTGTCCCTTGAAATGGGTCGGTGGTCCCTTTTATGGGGAGGGGTCCCAAAATGAGGAAGTAAATGAAGTCTTCCTCGTTCTGACCTTTCTACCTTTTCAATGCAAATGTGACAAATGAACTCTTGGTAGAACTCCCATTCCTTGTCTTCAATTGGTTTCAGAACAGAGGAGGCCCACAATTGTCTTATGTTCCTAAAAGCTATTTATAAGTTTCTATATTCTTCATTATAAACCCAGCTAACTAAACATTGTGCTGACAAGCAATTAATTATTAGTTAACTACTAACTCCTAACTTCATCAAGGCCTACTCATTTATTATTCTTATTTTAATTAACTCTAGTAAGGCTTATTTCTAGCTAAAATCTTAGCTCCTCAAAATCTCTAAATGCCTTAAAGTTTACGTTTCACTGGGCGTGCACATGATGCTCTTCCACATGGCCAAAGCAGCTCTGTGGGGTCAGAGCTCTGTCTCAGAGGAGTCTGGGACACAGCAGCGTGGCCTGGGTGGCAGCGGGGAGCTGAGCTGCTCTGCCAGCCCTGCCTCTGCCCACTGCCCCTCACTGGCAGCACGCAGGCAGCCCAGCCCTGTGGGGACTGGCCCCTGAGGGGCAGGGGGGAAGCATGGCAGCACGCTGGGGGGCTGGCAGGGGCCAGGGCTGGCAAAGGGAGCAGCCACAGGGCCCTGGAATTCTCTGTTGGTCAGACACCTGGGACAGGCTGTACAGGGTGAAGGGCTGCTGAGCCTTGTGGACACGTGGGCCCCGTACCTGTCACACACTGGGGCCACACGCAGGAGAGCCATCACCACGTCAGAGGGCTGTGCCTCTGTCAGATCCAGAAGGGGCCTGTACAGATTGTACTCAGGAAACTCATTGGCCACCAGCCACTGGTGGATGTACCTCACCATGGCCGGCACCTGGAGAAGGCAGGGGAGACTTGGAAAGCTGCCAGAGGAAGGAATGTGCCCAGCTGCCCCAGAGAAGTGCTTCCCTTGCCACCACACTGCCATGGCCTCAAAGGCTTCCAGGGAGCAGCAGGCGTGGCTTGGGAGGCCACACAACTGCTGGGAGGAGAAAAGCCAGGCCACAGGCTGCTCACTTGCTTTGGGCTGGAAGGACCCTCCTCCACAAGCATATCCAGCAGGGCAGCACTGGTCTTGGTTTTGAAGATGGGAGAGTACGCTCTGACCACAGTGCCCACGACGCTGCTCTCTTCCTCCCGAATCCTCTTCATGAATTTGCAAACCATCTGTAGCAGAAGGGCAAGAAGCTTGGGATGTTGCATGGAGTGCTCCGAGCACAGTGCTGGGCTGAGCAGTGCCAGCAGGCCCAGCCCAGGTGGGGATGGCTGCAGGTACCTGCGCTGTTCTGCGGAAGCGGCCACGGGTGCGTTCCTGCTCTCGTGTGCGCTGCACGGCTGCACCTGGCAAAGAGCGAGCGCAGCCCGAGCTGAGGGGCTGCGGGAGAGGCCGGAGAACACAGCCCAGCCCTGCGCTGCCCAGGCAGGGACAGCCCCGCGCCGCCCCAGGGCATGGAGCACGGCTGTGGGGTGTCTGCCCGGCCCCTATTCCATCCTGTCCATGGGCATGGCCCCAGGGGATGGGATGGGATGGGATGGGATGGGATGGGATGGCATGGCATGGCATGGCATGGCATGGCATGGCATGGCATGGCATGGCATGGCATGGCATGGCATGGCATGGCATGGCATGGCATGGCATGGCATGGCATGGCATGGCATGGCATGGCATGGCATGGCATGGGGCCAAGCTGGCTGCAGGCACCAGCCCTGTGGCCCAGCTCTGCCACTCACCCTTCTGCGGTGGCTGGAACTGCTCCACCTCTTCAGGCTGCTGTGCTGGGGCAGCTCCAGGGCCTTCTTTCTCCTCCTTCCCCCAGGCCAGCTTGGGCACGCTCGCAGGTCTGTGCTCTGTGTCACTGCCTGATTCATGGCTACTTGCAGAAGGTGAAAAGGAAAAGGTCCGAGTCAGCAAGTGCTGCAGTTGTGCCTTGAGGGCACCTGCAAGAGTGAAGTCTTGGCAAGGCTACAGGACAGCGAGTCCTGCACTCTGGTCTTGGGGGCTCCAGCCACAAGGACAGGAGACTCCTGTCAAGGAAAGTGCAAAGCAAATGCCACGGTCTGCCCTTGAGGGCAGCTGCAGAAGAGATGCCTTGGGAAGGCCAGGGGTCACCAAGTGCTCTGGTCTGGCCACGAGGTCACCTGCAGGAGTAATACCTCGGGAAATCTCCAAGTCAGCAAGGAACGAGTGGCTGTGCCAAGGCTCCTTACAGCACCGCTCTCTCCGTCCTGTCTCGGCGCGTGCACAGAGCACTGTGGAGTGGCCTTGTCACTTCCAACACCTATGCCACAGCATGTCACAAAGGGCCCTTGGATACCCTGTCCTGTTCCATTCCACGGTGACCATGCTGCACCGTGTCACGAAGGGCCCTTGGATACCCTGTCCCATTCCATTCCACGGTGACCATGCTGCACCGTGTCACAAAGGGCCCTTGCACACTCTGCCACCTGCCCTGGGGCCACCCCCAGCCCCCCAGAGTGGCCCAGGTTGGAAGGAATGCCTTGCCCCAGGTGTGTCAGACAGCCCAACAGGATCTTTAGGAACGGCTCAGACCATCAGCAAACGCTGCCCTGCTCTGCGGGCTCAGAGCAGCAGGAGCCCCCAGGGCTGCCGACGCAGCCACGGCAGGAAGGGCACGGGGCCCTGCACAGAAGCTGGCACGGCCTCCTCGGGACACGTCCCACGTGGTGGCCATCCTAAGCACGGCCGTGTGACACAGACCAGGAACGTGTGGGCCAGGGCAGGAATGCTGCTCTGAGCCTGGGGCCCGGGGAGCGCTGACATCAGCCACTGAGGCACAGTCCCCGCCGAAGCAGAGTTCCCCCGAGCCCTGGCAGCACCGGTGCCCGTCTGCTGCCCCAGAAACCTGTGCCCCAAAAGGGCTTCTCTGCCAGAGGGCAGCCAAAGCTGGTGTGTGTTGCAGCATTTTTCAGAGAAAGAGGACATGAGTTATGAGATTTGAGCTACTCCAGTCTAGGCCTCAGATTTGGGCCTTGTGAGGCCTTCAAGCCTCTGACGCAGTTAGAAATTCAGAGCTTGTGGCGCAGATAGAAATAGTATTAAGGTGTGACGAGGACCACTGGGCTGTCTGGGTGTGAATTAGTATACGTTTATAGTGTAAGGCTCAAGCCACTTTAAGGAAAAGGTAAACATTGTTAGCCTAGCAATCAGAGTGCCTTTGTTTCTGTAAACTATGTAGAAGCTTATATAAACTACCATCTTATCTCGAATAAACGGAGAACGTTTGATTAACCACATTGGTTCATATCAGTGTTTGTCTTGTCCATTTTCCCATTTTCCTGAGATTCCCTGTCTTTTGGTGTGCACTGGGGGCTGTGCTCCGTCCTACAGGGGCTGTTGTTAGCAGCACCTGGAGCAACTGGTGGCAACACTTGGTGCGTGTCAGATGTTGTTGCTCCTTCCCGGAATGATTTTTTCATGGAAGGGATTAGCAGCAGCACAGAAACACCAACAGCTACTCAACTTCACAGGACAAAGAGAATCTACCAAAACACCGTCATGTTTCCTTGTGCTTTTGTGTCTTTCTTGCACTCTAAAAGAAAAAGAATTGGCCCAAGCCCTGCTATTCAAATCTCCAGCTGCTGTGTGTCTTCCTGTGGCAGCTCACGTGCAAACACAACTGGCTGCCTGCTCAGCTCGGCACTGGACGGCCACAAACAGGGAGGGCCCTGGTGAACATCTCTTTGGTCTGGTGGGGCAGCGAGGGCACAGGAGACAAAGACTGCTCCTCCTGAGTTCATGGGGCAACAGAGAGATTTTATTTCCCACGCCCCCCCTCACACAGGGCATTTGAAAGACCAGGTCTGGAAGTTCTCATTGCTTTGAGCTCCACGCCCCTTCAGGTTCTGGCCCGTGAGGTGCCTGCAGTTTTGGGAGATATTTGATTGGTCAAGAGCCCTGTCAATCATGGTAACATCTCACCCTTCTTTTCTTTATAAAATTCTGTGTATTGTTCTCTGTCACCCATCTGCAAGGGCCCTTTGCAAACATGGTGACAGAGGACAGCGTGCATCTAATTTACACTGGAGCTGCAGCATTCCCCTCCAGGAACTGTTAGGGGAGAACTCAGGCCACAGGCATAATGCTTCTCGGTTACAAATTGAACTTATCTCTAAAAGCAGAAAGCTATTTAACCCTGAGCCCATTTAGCCCTTAGAGAAAAACCCAATTTTAAAAAACAACCTTTAAGCACTTGTGCACTTTCTGCCTTTTCCCATGCACATGTGACAAATGAATCCTTGCCGTTTTCCTGTGCTTAATGGATTCCTAAAGTATGGGAAGTCTGCAACTGTTTTTGTGTCGCTGAAATCTGTTTGTCACATTCTGTTTCTCATGATAAGCACAGCTACCCAAACATAAAGCTGAGAAGCAATGAGTTAATAGATCCTGGATATCTTATCTAAGATCCAGCTACTGTTAACTAGGAACAAAGCCTATTTATCTACTTCCGCTAAGTCAGCAGCATCTAATTTAACTATCATCTTAACTTCCTAAAATTCTTAATTCTTCCAAATTAATGTCTCACCGGGAATGGGGACAGGGAATGGGAATGGGGACAGGGAATGGGATATGGGAATGGAGACAGGGACTGGGAGTGGTGACAGAGACAGGGAATGGGGACAGGGACCAGGAATGGGGACAGGGAATAGGACTGGGAATGGGGACAGGGACAGGGAATACGGTACAGGGATTAAGAATGGGGTCCGGATTGGTGTGGGAGCAGGACGGGAACGGGATGGGGGGACATGGGGACAGTTCCAGGGCAGGGGGTCCTTGACCAGCTGCCCAGAACCTCCACCAGGGTCTCCCAGTGCAACTGGAGTCACTCAGCCTGGGGTGCCCAAAGCCCTGAGCAACTCCCAGGTCCCTCCCAGGAACCCTCAAGTCCCTCAAACCCAGCATCCCCCACATCCCCTGCAAGATCCCCCCCATGTCCCCATCCTTGTCTTAGCTCAACATGTTTATCGGCAGTGTCACAGCGGGGCAGCTCTCAGTGTCCCCAGCAGGTCACAGTGTCCAGTGCAGCCCGTGCCAGCGGTCACTGCGCACACGGGGCAGGCTGGGCTGGACAGGGGACGGGGCAGAAACGCTGCCCCGGGACTGGGGTCTCCCCCTGCCTCTGGGGCCCAGCCCCTGCTGGGAGCGCCTTGGGCAGGGCACGGGGCTGCTGCTGGGCCAGGGGGACAGGCCGTGCCCCCTGTCCCCTGCTGCTGGGCCAGGGGGACAGGCCGTGCCTTCTGTCCCCTGCTGCTGGGCCAGGGGGACAGGCCGTGCCCCCTGTCCCCTGCTGCTGGGCCAGGGGGACAGGCCGTGCCCCCTGTCCCCTGCTGCTTGGCCATGGGGACAGGCCGTGCCCCCTGTCCCCTGCTGCTGGGCCAGGGGGACAGGCCGTGCCCCCTGTCCCCTGCTGCTGGGCCATGGGGACAGGCCTGTGGTAGATAGGGACAGGCGAACGGAAGATCACGGGATGTGACGGAAAGAGAGAGACCCTTCCCCCTCCCCCTGCCCCACGCTATCCATTAACCCCAGGAGCATGTGACCACACCTGCTCCGGTAACTTTCCACTCCCGACTAACCCCTGAGACCCCACAACCCCCCTCTGACCTAGCAAAGACCCCCAAGACTATTTAAACCCTTGAGATGAGATAATAAAGGCTTTTGACCGTCCACCATACTGGTGGCAGCATCTTTGTCGATAGCCCGAGCAGTCTGGAGAGGCCAGACCGCCGTGCTGCCCCCAGAACCAGGTCACCGTTGTCTTTTATAAAGGCAACATATCTGGTGCCGAAACCCGGGAAAAGAAGGAAAAATTCGCCTGGCTGACGGGGTACACCTGGACAGGAGCAGCGGCCGGAGCGGTCAGACCGTATCTTGGCGCAGGGAGACGTCCTGGGACCCGCGAGTGTCATGGACAGCGTCGCATGGGTCGTAAGTGTGATTTGTGGGCAATGGAGTATCGAATTTAAGCTCAAGGACTTTTATCTTGCTATAGCGAGGCTGCTTGAGCTTGGGGCAGCCAAATGCTCAGTGGATGCCATGCATCCGGGAATATGGGAACAGTCTACAGCCACGCTGGCCGGGGAGGCGAAATCCTCAGGCAGTGGCGAAAGCCCTAAGGCACGGGGCAAAGTAGAAAAAGCCCCGCGCGGAGCAATAGAAAAGCAAGAGACGCGGAGTGCAGCGCATATGTGTTTATTAGTTAGACCCGGGCTCGGGACGGGGGCGGGAGCGCAGACCATCCCTTAAGATGGTCTGCCCGGGAGCGGGGACCCGGGGGGGCACAGCGCGACACCCCCTTCCCCAGATCAGAGCCCAACCCCCGCCGCGGGAGCCCCCCGAAAAACCCCCACTGCAGAAACCCCCCGAGAAACCGCAGCTTCCCCGTCCGTCCCGCCGCCAGTCCGCGACCCGATGTCGGAGGCGCAGCAGCGCGCGGAGTGCTTCTGGCAAAAGCTGGCAGAAGAAGCCAGAGTCGCAGAAGCCGCGGCTCAGGTAGAGATCCCGGCCGCGCTGCCACGCTGCCCCTTTGAAAATGGTTCTGGCTGCCACGGAGAGGGGTGGGGCGCGGCCGATCTCGGCGCGAAAACCCAGGAAGTGCGCGATTTCAGGAGCGCGCGTGCGCGGGAGAAAGAGGCGGAGAGCGGCACGGAGCGCGGAGCCAATCGGCGCCCGCGCCGGGCGCTGCTACCATATAAGGGAGAGACCTCCCCCTGCGGGGGGCGCGGCGAGCCGGGGGGGCGGGAGCGGCCCCACCCCCGCAGGGAGGAGCGAGCTCGGAGCCGGACAAAACGGCGCGGAGCCCCGGAAGTGCACTGGCATTTGACTTCCGGCGCGGAGCCTGGCGACGGCCCTGCCGGCTCAGAGGAGCCGGCAGAGGCCGGCCGGGACTCTGAAAGGGAGAGAACAAAGCCATCGCGATTCAAAACAAAACCAAATAGAGTTCTAAGCCGCACCGAAAAGCGGTCACAATACCCCTTGGAGCTGCGGGAGAAAAGAGCATCTCGCCAAAGAATGCGGGTCCCAGCCCCCGGAAACATGGAACGAAGGGGGGGGGGGGGGGGGTGCACGCGGGCGAACTCAGCCTCCTCCCACCGCAAGCAGCGCCTGTGACACACAGTCAGCAGGAGACGCCCCGATACGGGACCCCTGGGTGGCCCTAGCCCTGAAAATAGGGAAGGAACCCCCGAAAGTTTGGGGGACATGCCGCCTCTATGGCAGTCGGGACCCCCGCGTGGTGAGACTATGAGAGCCACTGCTGCACACCACTGCTACCAATCAAACCTGACCCTCAAAACAAAACTAATGAGAGGCTGTGAGTTCTGTTTGCAGGACACGCTGGTGAACCATCCCCGTGACACATACACCCCTGCTCCAGAAGGAGATGACAGACCACCAAACCGCCAGACAACACCTGAGAGTCCCACAGCGGTGAGACCCAAACGTGCACAGTGTCTTTATGCATTTTTGCTGTTTAGAGGCTTGTGGCCAGGAAGACAAGCTTGCCCAGGCCACTACCCTCATCAGCTATTTAGGTGGGTCGTGCAACATCTATCAAGTGACAAGGTGCTCAAAAAGTCACCATAATAAATACCCCATCCTTCGTGTTCCACATAGCCAGCCTGTTTAAAAGCTACCTTACTAACCCTAAATGAAACCAAATCAAACCTGACTAACCCCTATTAGTTTTGCTATAATATTAAACCCCCTTTTCTACGAAAGCATTGCTTTAAATACCCCCTTCAGTTACTCCACAGC